GCTTACGCTTCATGTGTGCTCTCCACTCTTCCTCGCTCCCTCTGTCTGTGTGCCCAGCCGCGGCCGCACAACCTGTGACCTTTCTGCTCCCTCGCCCCCCACTTCTTTCTCCCTTAGCCTGCTGACACACGCTCACCATCCACCGTACATCCCTCCAAGCTGCCTACCTCCCCTTGAATCGCTTCATTCATGCGCCCCCCCATTACGATTCGCAGACGCGACTTTTTTTATATAGACGCCTGCTTTTCCGCCTGACACAACAACCGGTTGCCACTGCAATGCGCAACCCGTGGCGTGGCGCTACTGTGGCGCTCTCTGCCGCCCTGCTTGAGCACGCGCCGCGCGCGCCCCCGACTCCCCTTCCCCTCGAAACGGGCCCGACAGTTGACCTTGGCCAACCCTGCTGTACCATACTACACATGCCATCCCTGTAACCGGCACAGTCAAAGCAAACACAGCGCAGTTGCGTTTCAGACCGCTGGCCACTGGTGGAACGTACACGCGCGTGCCAGCTTGTCTCGTGCTGGGTAATCCACCGTCTCATCGGCTGTGTTGATGCAGCAGGGATGTATCAGTCTGCTGGCAAAATGCACTGCGCAGCATGCGGTGGCCACCGCGCCATCCCCGTCCCAGAAGCCGCTCTTGCCGTACACATCGTATTGAACGCGCCTCGGTGCACATCAATTTATACTCTGCTGCAACAGAGGCTGGAGGAGCCAGCGGCCCTTTCTGCCGTGTGTTTCTTGTGCTCGCGCTCCTCCTCCGGCTCTACAAGCCTGGATTGGACGGACATGCATCATAGATCCATCAGCTGACGGCGGCTGCGTGCGCAAGACCGCCCAGGCTTGGAGCTCTGCCCCTGGTCTCCCCACCTGGTCTCCCCAGGCCGCTGGAAGCAGTGGGCCCTTCTTCAGGTCCGGCCCCAGGTGCGAGGCCCACCCACTGCGCCCAGCAAAGCAGCGCGGCATTGCCCTTACTCGGGCTATTAGGGCATTTATGCCGCCGTGGTACTGTCCGCCGCCGTTTGCTCCTCTCCTGGCGCTTCCAAATCCGTCCTGGCCCTCCTGCGCATGCCTGGGTGCAGGCTCCACGGCATGAGGGCCTGTCTCGGCCTCAGCTTTGCAGACCGGCGGCTAGAGGCGCAGTATGTGCGCCAACTGGACGCCGCGCAGGTTAGCGACCCCCTTCCTGCTGCAGACCGCCAGCGCTGCCCAGCAGGCCCCTCCTCGCACCGGTGCCCGGGGCCCTTCCAGCAAGAGCCCGCAGGCAGCACACCCAGCCGCACCCCGACCGCCACCACACACCGCCGGCACATGATGGCCGCTCCGCTGTGCGCCACACACTGCCGCAGGCGCCCGCCGACTGCGCCTACTCGGCGCTGTGCGTGGTCATGGCGGCGGTGCTGGTGTCCCAAGCCCTGGAGCAGGCAGACTTGCACCTCATCGAGAGCGCGCTGGCCGCAAGTGAGGGCAGGGAGGCCGCGGCATGCGGGCCTGGGCGCCGTGCATGGGCAGCTAGCCATGCTCATGCTCGCCGCTGCTGCATAGCTGCCATGCCTTCATCCCATGGATCCCATCCCCGCCACATGCGCGCTGCTCCACCTGCTGCGCACTTGCGGGTCCGACCCCTGCCGCAGTGTTCTGGATGTCGCTGCCCCTGGTGGTGTGCCTCAGCAGCCGCTCGCTGTACATCTCGTACCGCAGCTTGTGGCTCTGCGCCTGGCTGCTGCCGGCCTGGTGGTTCATGTGCCAAGCCGCCGCCGCCTACAGCCCGCACATGCAGCCTGCGGCGCCGCCGCTGATGCCACCACCGCAGCCGCCAGAGGCAGGCGCCTGGCACCACGCCCTCTCCGCCGCCACCCAGCGCTGCCGCCCCGCTGCACAGCTGATAGTCAGGACGTCCATGCTGCCCCTGCTGTGGTGAGCGCCCCCGCCCGCCCGCCCGCCTGCCTGCGTGCCCGCCCTGCCTGGCAGCCGCACTCACGTGCCGCGCTGCTGCCCACATGCCCTTCTGCGTGCCACGACTGTGCAGGAGCAACCTGGGGGCGCGGCAGGTGTTCCGCCGCCACTGGCCGCTCCAGGCAGCCTGCCTGGCGATAGCCGCCAGCTTCAACGGCCGGCGCTGCAGCTGGCTGCTTGTCAGGCTGCCCGGCGTGGCGGCCGCAGCGGGCCGCTTCTCGGGCGATGCACGGAAGATGAGCAGGCTGCTCACCCCGCAGCTGCTGCCTATGGTGGCAGCCCAGCTGCGGGAGGCTGGGTGGCGACTGGGCGCAGGCTCTGGGGGCACGTGCAGCACCCACACCGCCGATTCATCTGGCAGCTGCGCTGTAGCACCGCCCGCCTCCACGGCAGCGGCGGCAGCGGGGCAGGGCAGCCAGTCCGAGGCCCCGCGGCAACAGCTCGCCGCCTGCCTCGAGGTGCTGCTGTTTGCGCGGCTGCTGCTCTGCTACGTGGCACCCTGCCTGGCCCTGTGGCACTCGGAGCTGTCCTCCCGCCGCCACTTCCTGGACGCATGCAGTGAGCGGTCGGCCAGGTGAGGCACCGTGGTGGCTGGGTTGTGGGCAAAGCACCGATCCTGAGCTTGCAGCTGCCTCCCCAGGCCTACAGATGCATTTTCTTTTCAAGCGCTGAGTGCGGGGCACCCTGCCGTTGCCCCCTCCAGGTCTGAGAGGCTGCCCCGGATGCCGGCGTTTCACTTGGCGTGGCTGGCGCCGCTGGCGGTCGCCACCTGCTGGCAAGCCGCCGAGGCCGCTGTTGCGCTGGGCTACTGAGCACTGCCAGCACCGCTCAGCAGGCTGGGGTGCCCGTTTACTCGCCTGTTGCCGCCACGAGCCATGCACCGCACACCCCTCCGCAGCACCGCTGCTGCTTCAAGTTTCTGCGCCCATTTCATTGGCGGCTCACATCCGTTTTCTGATATGAGCGGCGCTCTCTGCACGACACTTTTGTCACACATGTTTTACGCCACATTTTGCAAAGGGCCAGGGCCCGTCCCTGCTTTCCTGTGTTACACTGCCGTCCCTTTCTGGCTATGAGCTCCCCGGCATTGAGATTGTTTTCCCCCACTCTGATACCCCTCCTCCTTTGTTCCAAAGCCTGAACCAGTGCCCGCCATTGGAAACGGAGTATGCGTGCCTTCTGCCGCCCGCCGCTGGTGAGGGGTCCCCCCGCTCTCCTGCTGCTGGTCCTCACACGGTGGTGCACAACCTCAAGCTGCTGGCGTGCCCTGTTGTCTTTGTTTATATCTCCACTGATATTGGCCAATAACTGGCTGTCTGAATGGCTTTCAATAATTGGCTGGTCTGTAAATTCTTTCATTTGAACGAGCATCATCAGCTTCCCGCCCGCCGCCGCTGCGAGGCGGTCCTTTGCCGACCATGCTGTGCCTCATAGCACGCTTGCCGCGCGGGCTTTACCACCACCAAGAACCCCCCCACGCAGACTCGCCCTCCCCAGCGGGCCCTCCAGTGGAGCAAGTCCCCGGGGAGCAAGCATCGAGCTGTGGCTCCTGGCCGCACGGCCTACAGGCCCCGTTTGACCCCCGCAGCACTCCCGCCAGTAAACTGGGAGCCTCTGGCGTGGACAGCGTCCTCCTGCCAGGAAATGAGCTGCGGTTCGCCCTCCACTTGCTGCGGCCCGCCGTCACCCTGCAGCGGGCTTGGCCGGCTTGTAAATAGCGGTAGCACCAGGTGCACGACCCTGTTACTACGGGCCGCGGTGTGGTGGGAGGGTCCTGGGGCCGGCGGTACTCGCAGCCCTCGCCCGCCGCTCGTCGCTCACCGCCCCTTTGCTGCCTGCTGATGTGCTCGCGCAGGATGCGGAGCTTGGGTTCCTCCCACCTCCTCACCTTCTCAGACCAGCAGCTGGAGGTGGAGTACACAAAGCGGGTGGATGCAGCGCAGGTGCGGCTCTACACAGCCGGGCTCCACCGCAGCCGCCCCGCGCACAAAAGCCGCTCCTACCCATGTCTCCCCGGCTGCGCAGCCTCCTCTGCGTGCTGCACAACCAGCACGGTAGCTCCAGGTCCGATATACGCGCCTCACATGCCTCCTGTTTGCTGCTGTTGCTGCGCCGCAGGTGCTAATCGACTGCGCATGCTCGGCGCTGGGCGTCGTGATGGCGGCCTCGCTGCTGTCCCTTCCTTTCCAGCTCGCAGCGCTGGACATCATCGAGAGTGCGCTAGCAGCAGGCAAGCCCTGACAGCTAGCCGGCGTTGGCACTCAGGCAGCAGAGTAGAGCATCGGCGTTGGCCAGGCTGCAACACCACTTTGCCCGCCCTCATGCTGCCCGCCCACCCCCCCTGCCCGTAGTGTTCTGGATGTCGCTGCCCCTGGTGGTGTGCGTGACCTGCCGGCCCGACTACGCAGCGCACCGCGGCTTGTGGCTCTGGGCCTGGCTGCTGCCGGCCTGGTGGTTCATGTGCCAAGCCGCCGCCGCCTACAGCCCGCACATGCAGCCTGCGGCGGCGCCGCTGGCTCCCTCTCCGCAGCCGGCAGAGGCAGGCGCCTTCCTCCACGCCCTCTCCGCCCTCGCCCACCGCTGCCGCCCCGCGGGGCAGCTGGTTATGCGGACCTCGATGCTGCCGCTGCTGTGGTGAGTGGCGCTAGGCGTGACTGAAACAGCACGGCCGCTTTCTGTGCACGCCAGGCGCTTTCCTAGTGTGCAGCGCATCCAGGTCTGGATGCCTGGCTTGACAGGTCTGTGTGCCTGACTGGCGGCCTGGCCGTGCTGCTGTGCAGGGGCAACCTGGGGTCGCGCCAGGTGTTTCGCCGCCACTGGCTGCTCCAGGCTGCCTGCCTGGGCGTGGTGGCGCACTCCA